TGCTTCCTAGTATGTATCGACGTCATTTTCTGCCACATCTGGACGTGGATACGCAAGCATTATGTGTAGGATAAGAATTCAACTATACAGGTATTTTTAGTTTGTTTGTGTAATAAAAAAATGTTATAAATTACTAGAGATAATTTATGAAAGGAAATAAAATTGCGGTTAAAAAAAGGTAAATATTTCGAATATTTTCAGAATTTCTGGAAAACACTGAAGAATTTTACAACAAAATTAATTTAATCCATGACTGTAACAGACAAAAATCCAATAATTTTTTTGTTTTGAAAAAAAAGGTACGTTCATACAGGGATATAAGTAACTAATATTCTAGATTTCTAGCCCACTTACCTTTCCGTCTAAAAAAATGGTAAATACTAAACTTTTTGAAAATTTTCGTATAAAGTAACGCACATATTATGCGTTGTTTTTTTTAGATCCCTCAATTTTTTTTATTATAATGGTACTACATGTCACTTAGGTACTTGCTTTGATAACACAGCCACACAGAAAAAAAGTTGTCTGTACTTTTCATGCGACATGTTATCTGTAATATTTTAGCCTCCTGATCACGAATCCGGTATAAGAATTGAGCTATCACATCACAGGAATTTCCTAACCTCAAAAAACAGGTCAAAAATTTTAAAAATTCAGGAAAATGGAAGGAAAAATACATATTTTTTTTCTACATTCAAATATTCATTTATATGGCTAAGACCCCGCAGACCGTGATCCGCGGTCAAAATTGATGGTTCTTTTTCTAACCTCAAAAAAAAACGGGTCAATTAAGGTCAGATATCACGAATTTTAAAAAAATAACAGATTTGCGCCAAATTTGGTCTACGCGGGTTTTCGGGGTCGCTGATCACGGATTCGAGATCAATTTTGCAAAATTCAAGATGGCAGATCCAAGATGGCCTACCAAATTTTCAAAAAACAACACAATCGCGCCGAATTTGGTATACGGAGGTTTTCGGGGTCGCTGATCACGAATCCGAGATCAGATTTACAAAATTCGTTTTTAGAAATTTAATCACTTACTTACGTACCTGAGATTAGACAGAAAACCCATGAATAGATCTTTTACAGACATAAAGAACAAGATATAGCCGAAAAAAAGAAGGTAAAACATGATTGGGTACTCAGGTTATAAAGTAAACAAAAATATTACAAAATGAATTTAGCAATTCTGAATCGAATCGAATTCGTAATCAGCGACCCCGAAAACCCCCGTGTGCCAAATTTGGCACGTAAAAGTTATTTTTTGAAAATTTGGTCGGCCATCTTGGATCCGCCATCTTGAATTTTACAAAATTGACCTCGGATCCGGTATCAGCGACCCCGAAAACCCCCGTAGACCAAATTTGGCGCGAATCTGTTATTTTTTGAAAATTCGTGATATCTGACCAGTTTTTTTGAGGTTAGAAAAGGAACAATCAATTCTGACCGCGGATTCACGTTCGGCGGGGTCTTAACCATATAAATGAATTTTTGAATATGGAAAAAAAAAAATTTTGTATTTTTCCTAGCATTTTTTCCTGAATTTTTGCTATTTTGAACCTGTTTTTTGAGGTTAGGAAATTCCTGTAATGCGATAGCGCAATTCTGACACCGGAGCCGTGATCAGGAGGCAAAAATACCATGGATAACATATGTCGCATGAAAAATACAGACAACTTTTTTTTGTGTGTGGCTGTTGTAATTTGCACAATATTTTTGTTTATTTACTGATCCTGACGCACAGTCAAGATTGCCATGGAACAAGGACATGGGGAATTATCAATAATTCATTTTTGTAGTGAAATATTTTGTTGTAAGTAGTGTAAAATTTTAAATGAAATACATTTTAATTTTAATTAGTGGAAAAATTTGAAGGTCTGGACATTCTAGTCCCCACTTGTACACTCCCCTGGTTGCGATTATACTATAAACACTCTGTAGTGTATAGAATTGATGATCAAAAATGTGTTTCACTTTCTTGGATGAAACATGAAGCCCTCAGGCATTAATTATCTTACTGTAAAATGTGGTAGAAGAAGTTGTAGAAGTGTTTTCAATAAAAGACAAGTTGTTATGGAATCGAAAAGACTGTTCATTTGAATATTGGACAAAAACATGTCAGTATAGAAGGAAACATAAAGGACAATTGTCCACTGTGGAAGGAATTATTTGAAAATTCGTTCATATATAAACTAATTCCCAATGGATTTGATACTAGCTTTTTTTGTATTTAAAGTTTGTCATTATGTCACTGTTACACCCTGTAAGTACAAGTTGTACGATGAACTTTATTGACGAAAATTAGGTAGAGGTAGGTACGTAATCCCTTAACTAAAAACTCTTGTTATCTCTACATGGACAGATCTACCACCAACGTATATTTAGCTAACCTTGGAAATTTTCTAACCAAGGAAATGCCTTACCTTTCGGTTGAATTATCGCAGATCCGTTTCCTGTCCCCGTCTATTTTCAAGCGCAAATAAGGAACTAGGATGTCGGTCAAGTTTTTTATTTAATTTTCAGCATTGTATACATATTTTAATTATTCTAATACCAGGAAAACAATGATCACTAAAAGTTATGTAAAAAATAAATATTGTTACAGTCGACTAGTTCAGCTAAAACTAAAGTTGCTATTTAACAAAGTATCGTTAACGGGTTTACACCAAAAATACCTCAGACTTTGCCACAATTGCAAAGGTTCGAAAATGCTTCGTTCGCGAGATACAGGGTGTTGAATAATTTGGAAAATATCAGACCCACACAAATGTCTCGAAAAATATTTAGGTATAATGGATTAATAAAACTTTGGCAGAATGAAAAATAGTTTATTTGAAAAACTAATTATTTTCAAATTATACAGAGTGATTCACAAATGGTGACCAAAAATGAAACCTCGGATTATTTGGTGAATTTTAAGGGGTCTTTCCTATAAAGTTTTTTTCTAGGACACATCGTTGAAAAAATACAAAAATTTGAGGAATTTTTCTAAAATTTAGATGCCCCAGTGGCGGAGATACAGGGTATCAGTGGAATATTTTTCTAAATTAAATTGTACGCTACTTCTTTAAGGTAACAATCATGATATTTTCGGATTCATCTTTCAATTTTCTACTAATTACTACTATCATATGTTTTTCGAAAAAAGACTGATTTTCGAGTAAAAACTTAAAAAACGAACTGAGAACACATTTCGATATTGGAATATATTGCTTTTAAAAATTACATAGTGTGGTGCGATAGTAACTTTGACATTCTGAGCAGTTAGAAAAAAAAATGCTTTTCATCAGATTCAAGCAAAAATAAATTTCGAACAAATTACATTTTCGTTACTAAAAAGATGTCGGGCCTGTGTTCGTGGAAATGGAGGTATTTTTGAGCATTTACCCAAATAAAATCATTAAAATGATGACTAAATGTTATTAATTTTTTTATTCGAATAAATAACCGATGCTTGTCATGTCATTTAAATAAAAGTGTTTTCAGTTGGTTTTTAAGTTTTCCTCGAAAATCAAGATTTTTTCGAAAAACATAAGAAAGTAGTAATTGGTAGAAAATTGAAAGACGAATCCGAAAATATCATGGTTGTTACCGTAAAGCAGTGGCGTACTATTTTATTTAGAAAAATATGCCACCGAAACCCTGTATCTCCGCCACTGGAGAATGTAAATTTTAGAAAAATGCCTCAGATTTTGGACAATGTTTACATGTGCTCAATTTCAAATTATTTCACTTACAAATTTTTAAATTATTCAAAAAAATTAAAAATATTTTTTGAGGTTTGACACCCTGTATCTTTTTAATGAAGTATCCATCCTAGATGAAAACTTTATAGGAAAGACCCCTTAAAATTCACCAAAATTTCATTTTTGATCACCATTTGTGAATCACCCTGTATCTTGTTTTAATTAAAAATATGTAAATTAGTTGAATACATTCAATAAACATATTTTAAATACAGTGTCATTAAAGATGCATAAAAATGATGTAAAAATTTTTAATTTTTTGAGAGTCAGCAAGTGACAAATTTATAAAAATTATATTTGCAATAAAAAATTCCTACATATTTATTCCTTTGCAGAAAAACAATTTTGTGACTTATTCAATCGTTCAATTGTTTATTTTCTATTAAAAAACTAGTAACTCGAAAATGAGAAAAAAAATTCTTTAAAAGTTTAATATTCGATGCCGCAAAAATTCTGAGGTTTTTAAGAACGATGAGATATAACCTATAAGGCATATGTCACATCTTAAATGCCATTGCCTACACACCCAGCACAAAGCATTGCTGACACAGAGTGACCTACTAATTTGTAGGTGCTATGAAAGCATGATTATCATCGCACTAGGCGGAATAAATCTATTTACTGGACATTAGGGGCGTAATTCAATGCTAGTCGAGGCATATAGTCCGTGGAGTAGTTGTTCCCCACAATGTCATTAGTTAAAAGTAAAAAGTTTAGTGAATTTCTGACTTTACTTAAAATTAGTTGTTATCAGCCAAAGTTTCATTAATCTGCGTCAAACATCTTTCAAGGCGTGGATTTTTTGAAAACCTGTACTCGTACACCATTTATCCCGGAAATAGAGCTTTTTATGAGTGACCCTTTTTTATTATGTCTTCTTGTTCTCTCCTCAAACTGTTTCTCTTTTATATCTTAAGATTCATACCTATATCACAGACAAAAACGAGTTTTCCTTTTATCCCTTTCTCTTTATCTCTCATAACTGTTTTTGTTCTTATTTTATTCCTTAGGAAGAATTCAGTACTACTAATTTTCTATTCTTGTTCAAAAAAACAGAGCAGGTTATCATGGCCCAAAAATAAAACTCTAAGGAACATTGTTTCTAGATTGTTTTAGCTTACTGTTTCTGCCTCAGAATTACCCTCAAAACTGTCGCTTTAAATTGTCGCTTTCGGTGTAAACCCGGCTTAAAAGCAAGAATAACAAAAACATGTCTATTTTGAGTCGATTCATGTCACAAGAAGCTACCTCTTACTTATTTCTATTGTCGGAATGTGGCGAACCAGTCATTTTCCTCGACAGCACAGGCGAACGTTTAGGGGATCTGCTGTTCTCACCCTCCGGAGATGGCGATCCCCCATTATTCTTACCCGCGGTTTTTAGGCGCACCTTAGTGTCCAGGTGGCGAAATCTGGAAGATTGATTTTGTAACTGAATCTTTGGTTCGATGAAGGAAGATTAATTGGAAGGTAAAAATGGAACGTATGGTACATGCTCAGCTATTGGGAAGGTAGAAGGAAGGAAACAAACGGTTATAACAGTTGTTACTCTCTGTCATTGTGACTTACCGAATAGGAACATCGCTAGATGCGCCATCTTCCGTAATTCCTTGAAACAAGAAAGCCAAAGGCCAGCTGATCCATGAAGCCGACCTAAGAATGAAATTGATTATTATTTTAATCAAATTTAGAAAACTTAGATGATAAAGTACTCGATACTAGAAACAGGATTAAAGTAATCGTGAAGGAAAATTGCAGGATTTCAAAACTGCAAAGTAATTTATGAAAAGGGACATTTTTAGAAAATAAAGGAAGGATTGGAAGGATATATGTAACTATTTGTCTCCAGCTAGGAAGAATCATCAACAAATTCAATCAAATTTAGAAAACTTAGTTGACAAAATACTCGATACTGGAAGCACAAATAATTACAGTTATCGTGAAGGATAATATGTATTTCAAAACGTCAAAGTAATTTATGAAAAAGGACATTATTTTGAAAATAAATGAAGGATTGGAAGGAATAACTATTTCTCTACAGCTAGCAATAGTCATCAACAAATTTGTTCAGTATGTTTCTGCGTCTACTGTTACATTCCAATGGTTATATCACAGACCTTTTTAGCAACGAATTCGTGGAAAAGTGTTTTTTATAATTCAAGTACTAACGACCGACAGTGGGTCTCTTAATTGGCATTGGCAATATGTAAATTAATCTTAATTTTCGTTTGCTAAATAAAAACTTGCACAGACGTGTCTGGTGTTAGGACTAATGTAAAATACCTGACATATGAGGATCAACAGAATGACGTTCTTTCATAGCAACTTGTACCACGTAAAAGTTATTGTAGTTAGATTTTTATAGGCTTCCATCTAAGTGACTGATCCGCCTATTAAATGAATCTTCTAATATATATCGAATGCTTCGCATAAGAACAGACACAGGGCAGTAATGTTTAGGGGATCCCAATATATGGTGTTTTAACATAATTTACCTCTATACTAAGTTGTTTTATTATACCACTTCTGGAGAGCGTCAAAGTTGGTTAATTTTTTTCCAAATAACTTTAAAACGCTTAATCCAATTTAAATAAAAGTTGGTGTGATAATACTAGTGTATATGGTTCTCGTTAGAGCTTTTGATAATGAGTACCTACCTTTTCGTGTAAAAAACTGGCGGTTTAAAATATGCTTCCAAAATTCGAATTTTCCGAGTCGTGAAAGTTAGGGGCGGAACAACCTCACGCAATCCTAAAATCTCCGTCACTGTCATATGAATAAAAATTGAATTAACACTCAAAAGTAGCTAATGTTAATGAATTATTACTATTATTATTACTATTATTTTCATTTAAAATAAACTTAAAATAACCATCAATTCTGTCACAAAAAAAATTATAAAAATGTTTCACTGGAAATAAAATTTTAAATTTGTAATTGAAAATTCCAAAAAAATCATTGGTGCAAAATTTTTTATTTTTTTAAGAATGTGATGGTTGCATTTAAAATTGTATATCCTATTTTGTTGTGACATGAATAGTTTCGTAGTTATTTTCGATTTATTTTTCAATATTGCAGACATATTTCAAATTATCAACAGTTTTATCTGTAATTAGTTAAGTCATTAGCCAGTTTAATCAATCTACGTCAAGAATCTTAAAAGATATTTAAATAAATGTAATATTTTTTAAATATCAACACTATCTCAAAAACGAAGCACATCCAGACATATATCTACAGGACTTATAGATTGGTAATATAGAATCCATCATTAAAATATGGTGTATCAATAACACTCTGTATAATTTCACTGATTTCAAATTTTTGCCATATTGTAAATTGTGACTATCAAATTTTAATCTTTGTAATGGAGGTTCTTATTTAATAAATAATTTATGTAATGAGGGAAATCTTAAACAAAATTATTACTTTTTTGTCTGAACTTGCTTAGAGGTAAGTTATGCTCTGTGTCAATTCTTATTTTTGGGATGATTGAACACCCCGAATTTCTTTGGGATAATTTTATATTGATTCCTTCATTTGTGTCAGGATCTTTATTTTGTAATTTTGATCTAATTTAAAGGTAAAATCTGTCTACATAGCCACTGGAAAACTATTTAAAAAAAAATACGGGGGACATATTTTTGTTGTCTCTCCTTCAAATGGGAAAGGTACTAGTAATTTCCCAAAATTAACTGCTTAAGTGCCAAAATGCGATTCAATGTGTAAAATTAACTCAAGGGAAAGCCCAACATTGTTTCTAGCGCTATTTCAAACTATTGCGTAAGAATTTACCTCTTCAGCGAAGTAAGTGTTCGTGAGCTGCAGAAATTAATAATACATTAAATTCTTATTAAGCGAAGTCCCATGTGGAAAAATATAGTAATAATAAAATCGCAGATCATGAAAGTCGAATAAAAGCTGTGTAGAATAATCTTCTTTAATTACGATAATTATAGCAAATTATAGTTAGGGTGAGTAATATTTCTCAGAAGTCATATGCAGTGGCAAAGTAAACCAAGAGGTCATCAAAACTTTTTTAAATTTATGCAGTAAATCTTAAGTTTGTCAACATCATAGCCATTTATTTTTTTTAAGAGCAGAGAAATCCAAAATACTACACGGTTTAGGAAAACAAATTTTTTTGTGGATAAATTGACGTTTCGACATTTCAATTTCACAGGAAATGATTTTTCAAATTCCAAACGCATATGGTCAATATGTAAATATTATTATCTTAAGAGTTTTACGCAACAGGTAAATTGGACTAAACAGATCACTTTTTGACATGAAATGTGACGTTACGTCACATTCATATTTCAATCCCAACAACACCCACCCAAGAAATATTTAATGGGAAACTGTAAGTTATACTCGTTCGAATGTCTGTGAGGAACATAAATTAATTGATAAAAAAATGTATTCCAAATAGGCAAAATTAATGAAGCGGGGTTTAAAATAAATAGCAATTATTATTTTATTAACATCATTAAATCGATTATGTCCATGAAAACTATTAAAGAGAAGGAAAATTGGCTATAAAAATGCATTCATTTATGCAAATTTTATTTTGTTTGTGTACACGAAATGTACTTTTATTTGTATTTTAAGAAAAAAAATATTGTAATTTAATGTTCAATCATTAAAAGAAACTTGTTGAGTACTTGAAGAAGTGCAAAATAAGTCATATGGTACGACTAAAGACCATTGTACATATTTAAATACGTAAAAAAAAACTTTTCTTAAAAAATAATGGGTTTATAAATTAAAATCCCTTTGAATGCAAAAATGAGGCATTCAGTTGTTTTTTTTCTGTAATATTCAGTTCAGTATTTAAATTGTAACATAGCATCTTTTATGAGTATTATCTGTATTTGTTATCGAAACTACAGGGTGTAATAAGACTGACTGCCATTACTTCAGCACGATATAGAGTAATTATAAATGAACAAAAAAGTTGTATTTTACAGAGGCATAAGATTCACAGTTTTCAAAATACAGCGAGTATCAATATTGGGGAATTTCATCACAACGTGACAACAGCGCTTAACCTAACGCTACACAGCTGATGCATCCCACGTGTGCACGAGATAGACTTGCCCTGCGGGAAAAATGTAAGCAGCTATTATTGTGAAATATTTTGTAAATTTGTATTAAACATAATTTAGAAAATAGTGGTACGCAAAAAACACTCAGACACGGTCCAACTCCAGATACCAGTTGAATTGCGTAATGCTGGACAGATTAGTACCTCGTTTTATCCGCCGCGCCGTTGTCACATTGCTCAATATGAATTTTATCGAATTTAAAATTTAGTACAACACTAATTATTTTTTAGAATTAAGCATAAAGAAGTTCAAGAAAGTGATAAAGAATGTATTTTATGATATTCTATGCACGCAGTTATGTCAATATTCCTTAATTAATCAAACTTTTGTACATCAAGTTGGAGATTTTGATAATTGTTTAGGGCCCATGTCATATAAGGTTTTTTTGTTTATTTTAGTGTACTCTATCGTCTGTTCAAATTAAGGCAGTCAAACGTCTAACACCCTGTATATTAAAATTAAACACATATCCACGAATAAGTCCCACTTGCTAAAAAAGAATCAAGAAATTTACCATATTAGTTAATTCCCGAAGCAATGATAAATCGCCCACAAAAAAATTCCATAGCCAAATTTAAATTAATGAATTTGTTAAATATTGGGAACCCACTCTTGATTACGAGGTTGAATTACTACCTTTCAATTATTAGCGTTTAAAAAAAATTGATAACGAGTATATTCCTTTTCAATATCAAATTTTAATTATCAGAAAAATTATACCTATTTGTTTTTATTGTGATTTTTTAATTATAGAAGGTTATATTAAAAATTTTACTACAAATGGCGGCATACAATAGGTGACGTGCGAATCAAAAGTTCAATGGCATAAAATAGATGGCGTTTTATATATCGCCCACACAGCGTTGTTCCGAACGACATAAAGGCAGAACATACCAAAAAACTTCAAGACTTTGGTGCAAAATACATGTTAACTTTATAAATAGAATAACAATAACGGTTAATCGATAATAATTAAATTGGATGAAGAAATAAATAAATAAAGCAAATAGGTGTCTGCATAACCACTGAGGGACTATTTTAAAAAATATATAATATATATTTGTGCATTTTAAGTACTGTTCTCTGTTTCAAATCTGAAAGGTGCAGGTAATTCCCCAAAATTAGCTGTTTAAGTGCCAAAATAGGATGTGTAAAATAAACTCAAGGGAAAGCCCAACGTTTTTTCTAGCGCTACTTCAAACTATTGCATAAGATTTTACCTTTTCAGTGAAGTGAGCGGTCGTGAGCTGCAGAAATTAATGTATTAAATTTTAAACAGGCGAAGTTCAATGCGGAAAAGTAAAGTAATGATAATATAACATGTGGCATGCTATAGTTGGTGTGGCAATTTTTAATTCGTACGAAATATAATAGATGACGTGTAGACATTTTCTGACAAACAATAGATGGCGTTTAGACATTTTCTGACAAACAATAGATAGCGCATTGTATTTCCGACGACAAACAACAGATGGTGTTCTATATTTCGCTTACTTACAGTCGCTTTAATTGATATGAAACCAATTCACACCAACGTACTTCAATATTTTGATACCAAATATTAACTTTCTAAGCAGAACAACAAAGATGATATATAATAACCGATAACTGAATCTTGTTAAGAAATAAATCGTGGACTTAACGTCAAAACTTAGTCAGATTTAGACTTTCAACTTTTATGGATTTTTATTTTTGTATGAAATATTTTGTTTCATGTTTTATTATAATTTTGCCATAAGCTTTTAATTGAAAAGGTAAATAATTTTAAGAAAAACTGATCTAGTGGGTTTTTGCAACCGAACGTTTTTTTGAAAAAAAAAAAATAATAAAATTTAATTGGGAGTCACAATGCTTCAATTTTTCAATAACTACATACATAAAATTTAATTTTCACTTTAAATCCTTTTCAGCAGCTATTTATAAAATCGAAGAAAGACAATTATTTCCTGAATCCTACCTCAACAGCTGCTTATAAACTTAGTAAAGAATTATACACTTCATGGTACTCTATTGGAATTGTTTCCTTGTTTCCGAATTCGACCTTACTCCAACGCATTAGGTGTTCTTGATATCCCAAACTAAAGTATGCAAAAACATGCTTCGAGAAATGCAGGGGCACGAAAATGAGCAACTTTTATTAAGCAACTAATGGTCCAAATACTTCTGTTTTTGAGAAAATTAAGTAAGAAGATAAACCATCAATGTAAGCCGACCCTGTGCATCTTGTGCACGTGCGCGGCCAGAATACTACGGACTCGCTACATGCGTGAACCGCTTCTCTAATTGGCTGACGTTCCACGTGACTTCCACAATCAAGCAAATCTGATGTTAGGTCAGTATGTCTTCTGTTCTTTAGTTGTATGTTACAGTATTACTTAGCCGGCGTATAAAATGTGATCAGGAAGTAGCAGATATGGTGTTAATAATTACTAATAGTAAAAATCGATGAAATATATCCTATTATTTTTTTCTTGAAAATATTAGTATTCAGTATTAACCTCCATCAAGCGCATCGCTGTAAAATGTTATTTGCGTGGTATAGATTTTGTTTAATGAAAAAGTTATCTCGGCTCCAAAAGGTCATAGAAAAACATTTTTGATTTTTTAATTATTGAAAAAATGCTAGCAACTTCTTTCATAAAAACTAAAATAGTTATTAGAAAAAAATATGTCAAAAAAATGCAATTTTTTCAGTTATTTTTTATCCTTTAAATTAATAAAATCGTCAAAATTTTATAACGATATGGTAATACAACTTTTTACGAAGAAAATAAACCAAAAATCGTAAAATCGTTACTGTAGGACAATCCGCTCAGAAGATCTAGGCCAGTTTTCATATTTTTAAATTTTTCAATAATATACTTTTTTAACGTAAATGTAAACGAGTTATAGAAGATGAGAAACGAGAAGATTTTTAACGGTTTTTTCGAAAAGTAACAAAGCAATCGATTACTGACAAATAATCATTCAATAGATCTTTTGAAAACCTACAATTTTCTCATTTAAAATTTTTCGATCGGTATATACAAGGTGTTAATTAAGTATGTACAATAAATTCAACAGACGATTATTTGAGTGATTTTAAGACAAAAATTTCATATAAACATTGATCCGCGAATCTTCGTTTTGAAGATACAGAATGTTTTTGTATGTGATTTTTTTTTTCAATTTAAAACGTACTGTTTTAAACCATCAGCTACTTAATAAAAGCTCACAGTTGCTCATTTTCGTTACAAAATTATAGTAATACACCTACACCGAGACTTTCAATTAGTCTCAAAATCATCAAATCTGCCTTAATGAGTTTTGGCATCAAGCCCGATAAATAAGGCACATAAATCCAATGGTTCTCATTTAACTGAATATATTTTTTTTACCATAACTGAAAATCTCGGAAGTAGTGAAAGGCCACTCGATTAAATCAAGTGACATGATGTTGGGCGCCCACTCTGATGTGTTCCTAACAACCTAACAGTACCATCGCTTTTTGGTCTCGCCGAAAATTATTCACTACACAAAAATTACTAGACTCACGTGGGTGGCTGAACGGTGATGTTCTCCGGTGATTCAGAGGCCTGTGTCAGGTGCCTCCTGGTGGACGGTATGGACTTGGCTATAGAAGGGTTGTATATCTTGGGATCGCTGACCATGCGCACGAAAAAGCTTCTTTTCTGTGCCAAGGTTTCCTTCTTCTTTCTCTCCAGCAGTTCGAAGACCTCATCGCGCAGTTCCTGAAAACCATTAGGGTAATTATTTTGCCACCTGTGTTAAGTCAAGGTGATTATGTCGATTTTCGGGACAATTAATCAAGCTGCTCGCAGCTGGATCCCGATTAGTTTTAATTCTCTTTTATGGTCGTTGTAGAGATAAGCTATGACGGAAACTTTATTTATTGTATCGCGAAGAATGTTGATGCATTTAAAATACTTTAGTAGTACATAACAATGATAAATGGACATTGCCTTCGCGAATGTAGAGCGGATATAAATTGCTCTTGTCGTCAGCATGTCACGTTTTTTTAAAGAACAAGAACCTGGACCATTGTATTTTTAATTACACCTTGCATATTCAGAGAATAGAAGGTTTCTTTCGAAATCGTTTCATATTATCCATCTAACATTAAAGACATTGGATATATATAAATGAACATACAGACATAACAGACCATGATTTTTCCTAGAGATGTAGAAGACAGTCTATTCAATTTATGATGTATGATAAAGGCAGAAGTTTATCTGGTTGTCTTGACACCCTTGTTACTAGGGCTGTAAGAACTGAGCCGCGGTACATAGACGTACGCATTATTTATTAAAAAGCAACAAATTAAATTGTTTCCCATACACCACCATAAACACCAACGGATAAGAATTAGTTACGCAACATCTGCACGATACCAAAAGCCACAGTATACTAAAGTGACATGAACGTGAAAAGCATTCTGAGGCAGCGGCTCGCGCACGTCTCGGTTGATAATCGAAAACGGTACTAGCAACAACTCCTTAAGAATTAAATCATAAAAATTGGATTAATGAAAATGTTAATGGAGCAATCAGTCTAACTTGAGAAGATTTGATAGAAGAAGTTGAAATAAATAATGGTTTAGACAAGGTAAGTGTTAAATAATGATAACAGCAAGTTCCAACGAAGAAACATTATCGGAGAGTGTGATTCGAAAAGTGGCATACTCAATAGTTGCATTAATATTTGCACAAAAGCTGCCGAATATAGCAACAGAGACTGAAAGAAGAGAATTAGAAATAAATACAAAATATATGAGAATGAGAAGAGAAGACGATCCGAAACGGGGAACTATCATTAGGTGAATTTAAATTTCAAGATGTAGAGAATCTAGGATGTATTATAAACAACGCAAACAAAAAAAATAGAGTAGTAGAGCAGATAATACATTTTTTACAAGTACAAAGTACATTTACAGAATAGAAAAATCATTAGCAAATTGAAGCTCAGAATATTTTATTCAATTATAAGTAACATACGCTGCCAAGACCACCATGGGTTTAACAATAGCGAAGAAGAAGGAATTAAAAGGAAAATTATTACAAAAATTTGCGATACAAGAATAATAAATGAAGAAGACTAAAGAAATGTACAATAATGATGAAGTTTGGAAGATCGATTCAGTAATTAGGAGATTGACATAATTTCAATTGGAAATAGAAAAAGACAGCATTAGACAAAGGGAACAATTAAAAGAAGACAAGTAGATTGGTGTAGTAGATTGGAGAGAACGAATGAATGAGAAAATGAAGTGGAAGAGAATAGAAGAGACAGTTAAATCATACAACAACCTATGAGAGACGAAATTGAGTTACCATCATCAACAAATCAATGAGAAAGAGTGTTTACGAACTTGAAGATTTATTTTTTTCGGAAGATAGGTCTTAATAAAAGAGACCCATTGTTAAAAATGTACCTTAGAAAAAAAATTATCCGCTTGTGCTTATTACAAACTGCAATTATTCAACAATCTGAAGCAACGTTCTCTGGAACTGATCGGTCTTTTATTAACACCACTAGATTGTACAGAAGAAAATGTATGTTAGTCCCATGAAAGTAATATCAGTACAGCAGAAAAGATTTACTTATTGACAAGCGACAGGAGATGACATATCGCTTTTTTTTGTTTCGACAGTACATCTGCTATCCTTGTTAAAATTACATATTTCTTAACTGTCATCTCTGTTCATTTAAATGTTTCGCCGTTAATATCTGTGATGGCATTGTGAATAGTTTCTTAATAGGATCTTTTGTGTCGCTAAACCGTTTGATTGTACAACTTTTTGGAAAACTTGTTCTTGAAGAACAACCACCGATGTACGTCAGTTAATGTGATATTTTCAGATGAAGCCCAATTCATGACTTTTGTACTGTGCAGTATAAGCATATTGAATTTCCTGATAGGTGAATTGGACTCATCGGTTTCATGGCCTTCTCATTCTCCAGACTTAAATCCCTTAGGCTCTTATCTCTGAATATTTAAAAAATGTTTTATATGACAGAAAAGTCAATGATGTTGAAGCGCTCTCATTTTAACATTTCAGACTATTGACAATTGACAATTTAATTCAACGAACTCAATTATATTTGTAATATGAGAACATGATGTGTCGTTCCCTCTCGACTCCAGCAGTTCTCAATATGTTCGCACGTTTTTTGACAAGGTTATGTTTTTTTACTCTTTTGCGACTATAGTTTAATATAACAAGATACATATATCCCTAAAAAGTGAGTTAGACAGACATAAATGTCTATAAAAAAATTTTCATTTTCTATATGATTTTGATATAATTAACTGGAAAGTGATATAAAAACGTTTCTCTGCCAATTTAAAAGTGGAATTTACTCTGTGATCTACTGTTGGATTTATTGCCAAACTGAGAACTGTTCGTAGGTTCCATTTTGAAGACGTTATTTGACCATTACCAAGCACGATGGTAAAAAACAATATACGTTATGTGACGAATCGTAACATATGGCATTTAAACTTTAAAAAATGTCTTTAATAGCCGATGCCCTGTTGTCCATAACCGGTACAACGCCTTCGACTGGAACAATAAACAATTTATTCCGAATAACCCATCCACGCTGCGCGAGAGGCTCGGGTTTACCTTGACGAGCGGACAAAGCAAAGAAAGCAAACAAACATCTTCATTTAGACAAGTTTTTGTGCAGGCTTTCACGTGCTTTCACAAAACAACAAAATAGACTGCGCCACAAATATTTCTTCGATGGCCTAACGTCTAATTTTAGACCAGCCTTTACCTACACGCCGCTATGTAAGATAGCTCGTTAAAGATCAATGATCCAATCTCTGCTGTCTGTTTTCGTTGAATCATTTCCACAAGCGTAGACACTTTTGCCCGCAAACAATTGAGTTTATGAATATATATCATCAAATTATGACAAAGGGAAGTTTTAATACCTCGGTAAATCGATATGATTTTTATTCATTGAATGAAATCAAGTGGTCGCCGTGCGCGAAGGTAAGTAACTTTTTGAAAGTCATTGTTTTATTGGATGAGTCAAACTTAATTAGATCCAGTTTAATCTGTTGTAAATATATCAACAGATAAATAGATCATTTAAAAAAAGTCTTGATCGGCTTCAAATAAAACTTGTGAACACTGGAATGTGTTTAGATTTATGGAGATATATGTGCCTGAACACAAAGCTAATTTTAGATTAGATAAACCGAATTTTACAATAGATGAACCTATGCCAATTTTTATTTATAGGTTTGTGCATCGACTGTATCATTGTCATGCAGGAGACAAGGAAGTATGTTGTTGATTTTCCCGAGCTTTTTTTACTTTTAAAATATTGGAAGCAAAGATTTTCTTACGAAGAAAATAACGTTTGACAAATTAGATGGGCACCATCTTTGTGGTTTTAGAAAATATGGAACCAAACGAACCCAGCGGAAGTACGTCTATGGGATGGATATATATATATTTGATACCAGCCGTAATTATGTAAAATCTGCTCCAAAATACTACTATTAACGGGAATTATTCATAACAATTTGATTTAATCGACTCGTCCCCATTACCCACGGTTGGATTAGATTGCCGCTCCATGATGTCATCTTCATGAGAACGGAACTTTTACGAATGGATGGTCATCTGGGAACCGGAAATATATGCTAAATTATTTCAATTTCGACAGCAACTTAATTTTACGAGATTGGCGATTATACTAAATGGCGATTTTAAAATAGAATTTTGCAATAATGAGAATTTACGTAATTTTGTATTGTGTGGTGAATGTTAGGAAAATTATATAAAAAATCAGTTGGTTATAGAGAAAAGCGAGATAACCTACACCTTTATCAAGCAATCAGCGCTGTTTCCAGATATTTTTATATCCACGTGTTCCACATTTGATGGGGTGCCATATTCAATGTAAAGAAACTTGTTGAGAATTTTTATCAACAAATCAATATAATTTGTAGATTTTACACCAATCGAAATTTTTAACGACAATGTTCAGAGAGAGAGAGTAATAAATCTCAGAAAATTGAAGAAATGAACTCCCTTATAGTAGCAAGTATCAGATTTCAGAAGGAGTGAGATCATCAGAAGTAGGATAACAAAAGCATGTAGTCCTTTCTTTATGAGAAATCAGAGAAAAATAAAACTAGAATCTTCAAAGTCACATTGCTCCTTTGTAGTCGCAATTATGGACACACCATTACAGCAAGTAAAGAAATGAAGGTTTATCTGTGATAAGTTGGATGTGATCAGAAAGAGGATAACAAAAGATTGATTATACGATAAATAATGACGTGCAAAGCTTCATTGTACATCAAATCAAAGGGAAACCCGGATTCTTAGAAGACTAAAGACTGAGACACGAAGAAGTTGACACAAATAAGAGAAATGATTAGAAGGGGACCACAAAAGGTTATAAACTAATCAAAAAATGGACGTATCTAGTTCTTTGTTTAGTAACAAATCAGAGGAATTTCATATGATTCAAGATATGATAAATGAAGGCCTACAAGCTTCTTTGTAGATGGCAAACAAACCAATAAACCAAAGGAAAGGACGGGATCATAGAAGACTAAAGATACAGTAAATGAAGAAGTACAAATATTATTTCGTTGTGACAAATCATTACAAGGGAGGTAACTAAAGATTGAATAATGAATCAATAGTATCTAGTTCTTTCTTTAATGACAATTCAGAGGGAAACAGAAGTGGAATCTCATAAGATCGATAAATGAAGACTGCTTCTTTGCAATCGCAAATATGGATAAGCTAGCAAACCAAAGAAATAAATGGGATCTTAAGAGACTAAAGGTACGATAAATGAAGAAATACAAGTATTGCTTCTTTGTGACAAGTTAGAGATGTGATCAGAAGGGGGATAAGATGAAAAAAGATAGTCGACTCAAAAAATGGACGTATCTAGTTCTTTCTTTAGTGCCAAATCAGAGGAATTTCATATGATTCAAGATATGATAAATGAAGGCCTACAAACCTCTTTGTAGATGACAAACCAGTAAATCAAAGGAAAGGACGGGATCATAGAAGACTAAAGATACAGCAAATGAAGAAGACAAATATTACTTCTCTGCAACAAATCATTACATGGGAGGTAACTAAAGATTGAATAATGAATCAATAGTATCTAATTTTTTATTTAATGACAAGTCAGAGGGAAGCAGAAGTGGAGTCTCATAAGTTCGATAAATGAAGACCTGTAATGCTTTGCAATCGCAAATATGGAAATTATGACGTGGAAAGCTTCTTTGTGGGACCACTATTGACCAAACCAAAGAAAAAGGCGGCATTATGGGACACTAAAATGAATGATGAATGCAAATGTGCAAGTCTTGTTTCTTTGTGACAAATCAGAGGGAGGCAGAAGTAGAATTGCACATGATTGAAGATACGATGAATTGTAGAAGCAATTATGGACAAAAAATCAGTACAAAGAGAGAGAGATGAAATCTTAAGAGATACATCAAATGAAGGTGGTTTATAGACAAATCATAGATACAGTCAAAACCGGATTAAAAACTTTACAGTAAATAGAGTCTTTGTAGCGGATATTAACAATAAATAAGAAGTTTACTTCCTAATTTCCTTTAAAGTGGTATCAAATTCTTAGTAGATCTTACCACGTTACACTAATCAATCGTTTCATAGCGATTCTAATTGATTAAACGACTTCTTCTTAATTATTAATCGTTATCCATTGAATCGATCACCGAAAATGACCTTACTCTAAGTCGATTTATTTATTGCGTACGCAACAGCGCTCCTCGTTAAACGTGATTCACGATGCAGGTGTCTAATTAAGACATTTCGGCGGTAATTGCCAAACTATAATTGATTGACTTATATAACGTTTAATATTATACTGTGACTTAACTCCAATAATAAGTCCGCCTTTTGCTGTGGCAAGTGACTCAGAAGCGCGAATTTTTTTCGCAAATGGATTTGTTTGTTGATTTTCTGGTGCGACGCTGTTGGGAGACAGTTTCCAGATACCGTTGCTTATAAATATTTTTATGAAGGAGATACGCAGCGCAAAAGATAATACGCAAATACTAGGAATTGGTACCGGGTGTTCCACATACAGACTTCAGTAGCTTTGGTGTAAATGGCATATTATGGATTCGAAAGATTAGTGAAAATACAGACGGAAGAAAGAAACAAATGGGGTACGTTTGAGGATTTGATATTTGACAGATAATAACTGAGCAACACATTTCAAAGCCATTTTATTTCTTTTTTTTTTGTGAAACGATTTACACGAAGATGCATCACTGTTTGAATATCAAATTAATATTTTCAAAATACAACTTTAAACAACATAAACTATCTGCAACATAGACAAACCCTAAAGGACCCATAAAAGACGAGACGTGTTCTAAATATTAGAATTTTTACTTTATAGGGCATAAACATTTTTCGTTTTCACATTCTATTTAATAAATTTTTCATATATCTGCATATAAAATGACAAAACGTGACTAACTTCATACAGACAGTAAAATATTTCAGTCAACACTAATTATTGAAAGATTAAAGGTTTTCAAGTAAGTTTAGCGTCGCCGTAAAATCGTCGAGAAATTTGCAAAACTCGACCATCGCAGTGCTTCGGTGAAGGCCTCATGAAACTTAGCAATGACTTTGAACAAGTACGCTTAGATCGTCGGGGCCATATGTTGGGCATCTGGTATCGACTAACTGCGTCGGTTTAGCCCGTGGTGAAGGGAAAAAGGATATTTCTAATAACGCGCGAAATACATTCGAAAAGACGTAGGAATTCGAAGATATTTAAATAACTTGTTAGAATGTTGTGAGGAAAATGATAATAGATCAAATAGTTGGTTTTTAGGCGGATTTTTAAAGCTGTAAGAATATATTAAATGAGATTGACTAATCCGTCCCATGTTGCTATATGGAGTCACAGGAGGAAGGTGTAGGGTTCTCTGAACGTACAATATTTCTAAGTTCCCATGTACCAATTAAAGTGTAAGTAGTAAGTATAACTTCATTTTGAGAAGTAAATGGTAAACTCTATTGCAAGTTAATATCGTTATGATACTGATCATAACTGTATAAATGAAAGAATAACCCCTCAAGTTACAATATAACAAATGCAATACATGCAATAAAAAAAAATTAAAATGAGCATTTACACTGAAAAAAATATTTTCAAAACATCATTTAAACCCCTTTTCGGAGCGCTCCTGACCTCTGACCTACAAAGGTTGATCGAGAGTGTATCTTGACCTACCGCATTTGGTCACTAACCTAACTTTTATTGCGTTTTTAATCCGTAATGACCGATAAGGAAAAACAGATCTTTTTACCTAGACATATGAATGGGTAAGAAATATTTTTTACATTTTAAATATTAACAAGTATTATTTATTTGTTAATAAAAGCAAATGAATAAGAATAATAATTGTTTTCGAAAGTTAGGCTGTTTAATATTTTTAATATTGTTAACGTTTTCACTATGTTCTATAATTGAATATGAGTTTTTAGTATTATTTTCAATTAATTATTCAGTTTGTAGTACGTATACCTTATTAAGTGACTTATTACTTTTCAAAAGAGTAGTACCTACTTATTTAAAATCACATTACGGTTATATAAAAAATACTCACTAATCCAGCCATAACAAAATGGTGATCCGCTGCATTTTCATTTTGAAACCAATTGCAAAATTCAAAACGACTGGGGAAATCAGCTGTTTCGCTTCAACGTTCGAACGCTCTGTGGTGCGCCGGTGCGTTCCCAGTCAGCAAATGTAAGGCGCCGAATCAACGGGAGTTAAGGGGTAATTTGCTCATTTTTTAAAAGGTCGATTAAACTTTTTTGTTCGATTTTCTGTCTTTATTAGGCCTTTCGAATATGTGGTTAAAATTAATGACATTAGGACTGAATCGACCTGTATATTAAAAGTTCCGTTTCACAATGTATTTAAAAAATTTCCAAATTAATTTAGAACATGTTTTTGGATTTAAAATGATACAATTCGACCTCACTTGTCCAACTCCATGCAACAAAACATTTTAAAGAAAACACCCAGGAAGATTGCTGAATCGAAAGAGTAGTGAAAACTTAAAAAGTTATATTTTAAGATGCTGAAAAGGCTATTTCATATTTGACAACTTACCAACTAAAACCGTTTTATTTTCTTTTTTTTTGGGGAGGGGGAACGATTTACTAGTTACGCCACTGTTTAAATATCAAAATAATACTTTTAAAATATTAAAATAGAATTTTAAACGTCATAAATCGTCTGCATCAAAGAGAAACTCTCAATGACGTGCAAATAAATATCAAACTTATATTTGCAAAATTTTAGTTGATTTATTACTGATAAAACGTTTTCTCAAATATTTTAACTTATTTTTATTTTATAGAACCCAAGGAATTAATAATTAGGTATAATTTTATTTTTATTTGGATAAGAAAATCCTGAACGAAAAAAAAAATATTTTTGTTTATTTTCAGTTTAATAAAAAAAATTAGATGAATTTTTTTTAAGATCAGGACCCAACATGAGATAGTTTTGCTTTCATTAAACCAAAATTCTACATTCTTAAGAAACCAACAGCAAAGATCGTCCATTGTAATTCACTAATAGATTTTTTTTAATATTACTTACATGTTCTTTTTCTGCAGCTTGGCTCTCCAACAACTCCTCAGAAAATTCCTTTATCACGTCCCAAGCGTAATCTGAAAAGTAATTTCATAAACACGCGATAATTCAAAAGAAAATTATTCTACACCGAGAAAACAGTTTAACTTTTCGTGCATTGGAAAGCATAGTGAAATAATTACACAAGCTTTCACGAAATTGTCTGTGACTTGGAATATTTTATAGAAAGTGATTTTGATTTATTACCACCAGAATCGAAATCCAATTTACACATAATGACTATAAATAATGCAGATGTTATATTAAATAATCGGCTTAAAAATGCACGTCCTAAAATGATCTCATCATCTATAATTGCCTCGAAAATATACTTAAAAATAAATTTAAGAGTTATTTTTACCCACGCTTACTGATAGAAAGCGTATAATTAATTAGATACCGGTAATTTTGATCAATTAGTCAAATTCGTGGAAACAAACACATCCATATTAAGCATGCAGCTTAAGTCATTTTATAAGCTGTTTACGTTGAAATTCGCTTAATGTTCTAAGAACTTTAGATTTAGCGTCAAATCTGTGGTTTAAAATTTAGTAAGTCATAAAATTTAAAAATATATCAGAGTTAAATAATGCTCCTGTCATATAATACAATACTGGTACATATTTTAATAACCAGTTCTCCGTACCTATATCAGATTCCTCAGCGTTGCTGGCGACCACGCAGAACCTGATCACGTACTTGTCATTTACGCTAGCAGGTACCATGTGCAACTTTCCGGACCCATTTATATTGCTCAGCAACTTTTCGTTCAACTTGTCTGTGCCCCTTAGGCGAAAACAGACGAGCCCCAGCTGCAAAATTAAATATTTGCATCATTAATTCGCTAAATATAGCGACGAATACGTCGGTCATCCAATCTAATATTAATTACATTACAAAATTTGTATAATAAAAACAGAAATCCCCATTTTTATGATAACTCAACACAGTTGACCAAAAAATATAATATTTGCTACTGCTACTACCTCATAACACATAGTAGCATTCAATGAAGAAAAGTAATTGCGTTGATATGTTGGATTTCACACTAATCAGGAGTGGGATTTCAAAAAAGTGGAGATGTAACAAATAAGAAATAAGAGTTTTATTTTGCGAAGCATGAAAGAAATCATCCTTTCATAATGTCTACAGATTAGAAGACCAGTCTCTGCCAGTAGTGCAAATCAGTAAATGCACCAATAGGCATCGAGTAGCTTTAAAATGGCATATACTTTGTTGGTTATATCTCATCCATCATCTGCTTACATGTGATTATACTTAACCGCAGATCAGAGAGTGTAACAATCAGAAGTGGGATTTCAGTCTTGAAGTTGCAGCAAATGAGCTAGTGGAAATAGTTAAATATTAACTACAAATTTGAAACAAATAAAATTAAAGTGGAATCACAAATAACCCAACAGTTGACCAAAAAGTATTTGCAGATAATACCATTACGACCTTGCATTGACACTCAAAAACAGACCAAACTCAAACAAAGGGAACATTGGATGTGCCTTCACAGAAGAGAACAAATGAATAACTATGATTAGGGCTCGGGACTCTTTGGAAAACGCACCCAATGATTAAGAGAAATAAATATGTTTCTTTGTTAACTGTAACCAATAAATCAGAGAAAGATAATCAAAAATAAGTTCTAAAAAGCTTGAAGATGCATGAAGAAGTACCTATAAATATATGCTAAAAATTAACCCAAAATAAAGAAACTGATAATCGGAAGTGAGATAATGACAAATCAGAAGTGGGATCATAAACAACTTTAGTATAATTTTAAAATTGTAAGTCTCCATCAGTACAGAACAAACAAAGTCACCCCAGATAGCTTTGAATCGTTGCTTCATCATTAACTGGTAGTGTAAATGATTCTTAGTTTGCTTGATTGAATGGATCAACTACATTATTTTTATTGTTATCCTGCTGATGAAGAACAGCGACCCACAATTTAAAATATTTTCCAAATCCCAGTTTGTTTTAATTTTTTGGTTTCTTACCTTGACCTCGTTGCAAATTTCGAATCGCCTGTCCTTAATGACGTGCTCCTCGAACCTCTGCGCAAGCCTGATGTGGTGCCTTATGTACTTTTTCAACCCCGATATGCCGTAACTCCTCAGGACGAACCATAGCTTCAAAGACCTAAACCTCCTACTTAGTGGCACACCCCAATGTCTGTAATCTATGGTGGCGTCGGAATAGCCATGCTGGAGGTACAAGGGATCAACCACCAGGGCTGAAGTTAGTCGGAGACGATCCCTCACCTACAAATTTTTTCCCATTTGTCTTAGAAAAGTAAAGAGCTTTTCAAATCGCATTATTAATACAAACCCTTATTAAAATTAACTGATCCAAATTCGGAGATCCAGTTGGCTATTTATAGACAGTGATTGAAACTAAAGCTATTGGCGTGTCTGTCTAAAGGTGATGAACACGAAATCAGTGGAAAACCAATTAAAAATGATGTAATATCTATTATTTGTCTAACAATCTGTCCGTTTGATCTATGAACAGCGCTGTCGGAATCCAACAGCGTGTATTGTGATTTGATCAAATTAAATCCAATTTAAAAGAGACATTTAATAATGTAAGTCGTTAGGATAATTGAATATATCGATGAGATTCCATTATGTTGTTGAGTGGCTATTTCTTTCAATAACCTCTCAATATGAACACTTCAGTGTAATTAGTTTTAATTACAATTGTGTTAGACATCTGTTATAAGTGGTTCGCTGTCGTTTGGACAAAAAAGACAGTTAATATGTCCTCCATGACAATGTTCCTTAGCTATTGGAATTTAAACATATTTGGATTTGGTGATTTTAGCACCAAGTGCCAATCGGGACAATTTAAAAGAATCAGCAAAGTTAACCGAAATTATATTCACTTTCCTGTAGCTTTGGTCGTTTTGAAAGTTTGTTATTTCTTTGTTGCGTTAAATATATTAAATGTTCGTTTTTCCAAGCCACACTATGAGCGTCTCATAATCTGAGAATATTGCGCAAACAACTACTCTGCCGACTATAGCTCCGATCAGCATTGATAAGATAATTCGTCAGCCGAACCCAGTCTACCGATGAATAAATCAGCTATTCTTTGTTAAACTTGTTCATCAAGTGGCGACAATATCTACAAAATAGCAGATTGTTTCCTGTCAGTTTTGGTCGTTTGAAGGCCTAAGCATTGCGTTCATAGATGTGGCATTATTACATCTCATTTATACTTCCTCCATCTCTACAGTTAAGCCACCAATAGTCGCTGGATCATTTGTCAGTTGTACCAATATATTCGAAACCGGTATATGTCTGGTGGTTTCGACTAACGAATGATCCTAGCAGTTTCCTCGATTTCAAAATCGTTTCGTCTAGTGCAATTTGCAGCAGATGATGCCGCTACTTACCCACATGGTGGAGCAGTCGAAGTTGGTCAGCATCCACTTGTTTTGATTGGTATTGAAGGAATCAGCATACTCTATTCCAGAGAGTAAGTACTTCAGTTCCGGACAAATGAAAGAGTTACCGGCGTAGGCGCCGTCGACGTGTAGCCAGATGCAGGGGAATTTTTGGCAGACGGGCCCGATTTCGGGGAGATTGTCAAAGGAACAGCAGGAAGTTGTACCTAGAGTGGTGGAGACGAAGAATGGGATGAGACCCATCGTTTCATCCTCTTCCATAGCCTAATTCAGAGGATACAGCATCATTTTTTTAAATGACATATATTTAAGACAGATATTAATTTTTTTCGAAATTTAGGGCCCCACTTTGGGGAGCTAATAACTCCTCAGATGTACAACTTTGTATATAGGTAAGTTTGGTTAAATTACAATATTTTAGACACCCCTACATGCACCTGCCCTGTGTCGGCTCTTCTGCGGGACACCCTGTATGTTAGTTAAGAAATAAACAAATATCTAAAAATATTTCAACATTTAATATTACAGAGTGTTCCCAGATCGCCAAATAGTGGTATCAATAACAAACTTTTGAGTGTTAATTTGATATTTTGTGTAACGATTTTGTTTAGTTAAAAAATAATTAATTGTTAGGTATTGTATTTCTATTTCCGTAAATAATTTTACTCTGTAAGGGTAAAATCTTTTCCGTGTAAAATACATTTCAATAAAAAATTTGTTCAGGGTTAAAATTTGTGTTCCAAATTTGGAAGAGGAGAATCAAATTTTGCCGCCTAAATCTACTTTTTTGTACATTTGAAAAAAATCAAGTTTTTTAAATAACGATTAATTTTTGTGAAATAAAATATACAAATTTTTCATCTTTTCAATATTATGTATGGATACATTACGTTGTATACAGTGTCGATTTTTGAATTTAATTTACTATTTTTTCAAATAATAGTTTAATATACAGAGTGACCTATGTTCGAGTAATGACGTCATCACAATTTTTTTTAAATGGAACACCCCCCTTTTTTCCAATTTTCGGATTGCCCTAACTGAGCTGATTCCAAAAATATACCACAAGTCGCTTCTAATTGTTACAGGGAGGACAATAATACCCAAATTATTTACAAATACTAAATTTATTTACAAATAAATAAACGTACTAAAAATTGAATCAAATCACCACATATCATTTTAAAATGTCATTATTTTTTGCTATAATTTCTTTGATGCTTTTTTAATTTTATCTGCCTGATAGAACGTGCTCCTATATTTCTTGCAGGCAATCATTTTTAAATGGTTTGTTAAGATTGTACAAGTAAATCAATTTTGAATGATTCTTCCTTAAAATACTGAGTATTTTTGAATTAATTAAAAAACATGATTCTAAGTGAAACCGAACGGATTGAAATTCTTATGATGATCGGATATGGTGATAGAATTCGAACTCATGAGGAGTTTGTGTTTTGTTTAATGAAATTCATCCCAATCGTCCACCAATAAATCGATCCACGGTTAGCCGAACTGAAGCAAAGTTTCGAAATCATGGTCATGTTAAAGATATGCCCAGATCTGGCCGACCGACTGTAGATGAAGAAGTGCAGTTATAAGCCCTTTTGACCATTCATGAAAACCCGCAATCCAGTCTGAGAGTCGTAGCAGATAATTTAGGAATGAGTGAAAGTACATTGAGTAGACTTCTTCACAGAAACAAGTATCATCCCTACAAAGTTCACTTAGTACAAGAATTATGTGACGATGATTTCGACAGACGCACAAAATTTTGCGGAATGATGATGGAAGAATGTCAGGCAGATCCGGATTTTGTGAAACGCATAATTTTCTCCGACGAGGCGTCGTTTTATTCAATAAACGGAATTGTCGGTACTGGTCAGATCGCAATCCACATTGGATGATGGAAGCACACAGTCAGCATCCCCAAATGGTCAATGTTTGGGCCGGAATTGTTGGTAATCGAATTTTGGGGCCGTATTTCTTCGAAGGAAATTTAGATGGTGCAAGATAATTGGAATTTCTGCAGTTCCATTTAGTTCCTTCCTTGAGTGTTCTATTTCCAAATGAAGAAGATCCAGATTTGCCCAATGAAACCATTTGGTTTCAGCAAGATGGTGCTCCACCGCACTATGCCAGCGCTGTTCGCCGCTATTTAGATGACGTGTTTCCTCATCGGTGGATTGGCAGAAGAGGACCTAAGGAATGGCCCGCCAGATCACCAGATTTAACACCGCTCGACTTTTAGGGGTTATGTAAAATGCAAAATATACGTCAATAAACCAAACAGTATTAACGATCTGAAGGAACGAATTCGGCAAGAAGTTTGAGCGATCCCGCCTGAAGTCATTGGTACAGCAAGAATTTACTTCCCGTCTGGCCCATTGTTTGGCAGTAAATGGTCAACAATTTGAACATTTAATTTAGGTGTTTCTGGTGATTTGATTCAATTTTTAGTACGTTTATTTATTTATAAATAAATTTAGTATTTGTAAATAATTTGGGTATTGTTGTCCTCCCTGTAACAATTAGAAGCAACTTGTGGTATATTTTTGGAATCAGCTCAGTTAGGGCAATCCGAAAATTGGAAAAAAAGGGGGTGTTCCATTTAAAAAAAATTTGATGACGTTATTACTCGAACATAGGTCACCCTGTATATTAAATTATTATTTGAAAAAATAGTAAATTAAATTAAAAAATCGACCTGTTTCGGGAATTTTTAATAATTTCTTTTGTTTACCTAATAATGAATTTGTGCACGACTTTAGGGGGACACTGTATAAAATGCTTCTAGAAAAGTGAATATTTTGAAACGACAGTATCAAAATTGCCTTAAAATGCAGAAATGTCTGATAATATTTGTAATTATGTAATTAATATTCATCTAAAATAAAAATTAAAAATGAAATGTCTAAATATTAATATAAAAAACATACCTGACATAGAAAAATTGCTAAATAATTTTGTTATATTAATATTTGGACATAAATATAATTTTTATTTTTGCTATCAAAGAATATATGACCTCATTTGATTATAATTTTAGAAAAATTTTTAGAATCAGTTTTATTTAATTCGTTTATATTGTTAGTGGTGTCCAATTTTTTTTGTTAATTATCCACACCATCAATAATATTGAATATTATAGAAATAATTAAAACTTAAAGCTTAATAGTTCAATTAAAATAAATTGCTATTGATTATTTATTAACCACTTTTCATGTTTCCATTAAAATTAGCGGAATAATTAGTCTTAACTAATTATTGTTTTTTTATTGATAACCAGGATTTTTACATTTGCAACACGTGTAACGCGGTCCTTTTTCGTTGTCTAAATTTACTGATTCTAGCAACATTTTTTTTCCGGCATTATTGTATTTATTTTGTAATACTGGATAGTTATTTTATCGAAATTACCATAAAAAATCCGCTAAAAAGGCTTCCACAATTTGATTTGAGTATTTTATTTGTAGTTTTCTTTTCATTAATTTTGAATTTTTTATACTTAGATCCGCACAAAATAATGACTTAAATAGGTGTGTAAATATAAGGACATCCCTCAACTTTTTAAACTGAAATGTGATAAGTGCTTTTTAAATGTTATTAATAAAAGCTTTAATTTTAATTTTATTATATCAAAACTTTCTGACAGTTATATCAAAGAAGTGAAGACATTTTAAGGTTTCATAGACGACACAACTTAATTAAAAATAAGGGATCAATTAAAATACAAGACAATTTAATTAGAATTGTATAAATTCAAGTCAGTTGGATTGAGCAATATGCAACCAGTAATACAAATACCTAATCTTCTAAGCTACAAATGCTCTTCTTTATTTATTCGTATGTATATTTTTTTTAAATATTTTTCATTTAACTCGCATTAGAAGTCTTTTTTTTTAATCATCAGTCCCCTATTGGGGGACCTAATTATAGAATAAAAATTTTACCGATGTTTCAATTTCTATACACCCAGAAATGTAAATAATATAAACTTTATCTGAAACCTACTAAAAATAAAATTTGCTTTATATCTTAAGATACGATAATTCTATCATTTTAAAACTAATTTCACTGAATTTTTAGAAAGCAAAATAAAAACAAACTTGAATAATTTACAACATCGCAGCGTTGTTCCGAAGTCATGTAATTTGTAGTGAAATACAATGTAATTCAAATCCACCGCATCATACCAGCAGATTTATATCGCTTTTAATTAAAGTAATGCTGCGATTTTCTTTATTTTTACAGAAAACATGCCATGTTTTCATTAACTCCCATGACTGGCGCCTTAATATAAGACGAAGAAAATTCATATACGAGCGTAAGGCCGAAAACGACCAAATATTTCTCCGTCCTAACACAGAACATAATAGATAGCAGAGCTGGGCAAAATACTTTAAAAATGTGTTTAAAATACAAATTACAAAATACTAGTACAAAAGTATTTTAAAATACTTAAAAACAAAATACTTCTTTGGAAAAGTATTTTAAATATAAATTACTCAGTATTTTAAGTATATTGAATATTAAATAGTACCGGGTGTTTCAAAGTTGAAGTGACAAAAGCTTAGGAGAGATTCCGCTCAGCAAAATACGTAAAAAAGTTCACATGAACATGGGCCCGTAAGTCCGTCGTTTCCGAGATACAGGGTGCTAATTTTTTTAAAATTGAGTTTTTTATAAAAACGTTTTAGCCAATTTGAATGAAATTTTTACGGTTTATTAAAACCATTTTTATACATCAATTAGATTTTTCAGAGGCGTACCCAACGAGAAAGTCGTTTTTTTTTTGTAGAAAATAATATCACCTTGTAGTTTTTTAGAGGTCTTTATGTAATCTTCAGATAAACCCATTAAAAATAGTACATTTATGTCTCTTGACTCTTTTTGGTGTTTCGCTTCGTTTTTATTTTATTTATCTTTTCTACAAATGACTTGCTCGATGGGTACACCCCTGAAAATTCTGGATCAAATTTAATCGGTCCAGTTAATGTATGATAATCGTTTTAATAAACCGTAAAAATTTCATCCAAATCGGCTAAAGCGGTTTTTTTTAGAAAACTTAATTTAAAAAAAAAATTACACCCTGTATCTTGGAAACAGAGCACTTGCGGACCCATGTTCATATGAACTTTTTTTCATATTCTGCTGAGCGGAATCTCCCCTAGGTTTTTGTCACTTCAACTCTGAAACACCCGGTATATTGAAATTATTCATTAACTGTATTTAAAATATTTTTGAGAAATATTAAATCTGAAACT